GTGGAACGTATCTAGTCCCGTGTCCTCTGCCAAATGTTTGGGAATGTACACAGCCAACGACCCAATACTGAAAATCACGAATACTATGGCAGAGGACACAGGACTAGGTACGTTACGCAACGTCTTCCTGACGCTCTGATCAAGTTGCGAAGAAAAGGCCGAACTAACACTAAAAAACGAAAGCATAGCGCTTAATCGTCTTATTCAGACGCCTAATCTAAGTTGCTATAAATTGACTTGTACTATCTATGTCCAATTTTTTATGCAGTTTGAGATGTTGTGAATACTTGTTGTCAATATGCTGCCATCAACAACAGGTCACAGAAAAACAAAAATTAATCTAGATAATGTTTAACCCACTGATGACAAGGGAATAAACGAAAATCGAAACACTACCACGTTTTTAAGGGCTTGATTAGATGCTTGACCAAGGAAAATGGCAAAAAGATGAATCCATAGGAAATTTTATTAGGTTAGATTAGAATCCGAAACTAATTTCGTAGCCATTGCAACCTAGCGTTATTAATTGTAAAATTCATGGCTGTAAAAATTCATGGCACATTTGTTCAATTGGTGGGTCAAAGCCTGTGGCTTAAGTGAGTTGAAGAGTTGGATTTAGAATTGAATTTCAATGCGTAATGTACAGTAAAAGTGATACTGCAATAAGATAGACTGAAATCCATATTACATCTAGGTCCGATCAGGAACCCCGAAGGGATCCAAATGTGATTTGGATGGAATAAAAAACAGAGTATTCAAGGTCTTAGATACGCTAGTTTGCGGAGAAAGAATAACTTTTAAAGCAGTGTAGACACCATGGAGTGATCCACATCTAAGAAAAGGTTAGCCTTTAGCTGTTGTACCTCAAATACTAACACAGCATAAATGAGGCAAAGGCCATTACATGTGTAAGAGAAAAAAGCACTTAATGCAGTAGAAAATTCGAGATAGTATTAAGGAATAGTGAATAAATAAATAGATGCACAAAGGTAAATAGCTTGCCTGTCTGACTATCTCAACAAAGATGTCATCCACGCCCTCGTTATCTCTGGCCGAGGTCTCGAAGTGTGGACAACACCATTCTCTAGCTAAAGCCTCGGCATCCTCACTCTCCACTTCGCGGCGACCCAGACGAGCTAAATCAACTTTGTTGCCAACCAATACTAGAGGTACCGTGCCGGACAGCCCACCGCTACCACCACCTGGACGACGTCGTCCCGAGCCCGAATTAAAGCTAGAGCCAAACCGGCCAGAGGGATATCCAGTAAAAGAAGCGCCTTTCACGCGGAGTATGTTGTCACGAAGACCAAGAATGTCGTGAAAAGTCTGCCGACTTGTTAAGCTATATACTAGGATGAAGCCTTGACCGTTTTTTATGTATAGGTCACGCATAGAGGAGAATTGCTCGGTCCCGGCAGTATCAAGGATCTCCAGGGTCCATGGAACTCCAGCGACCCTGAATAAAATAAGCAACAAATCCGTTGTAAATAACTAGCATAACTTCATTGTAATTATATGAGCTGAATGGAAATAAATATATGCATTTCGTAAGAGTACTTCAAATAAAA